ATTACTTGAAATAAATAACGATCTAAATAAAATCGATGAGTGGTCTAGATCATACAGACTTGTTATAAACCCTAAAAAATCACAATCAATGATTATAGACACCAGGCTTACTCGTAAATTACTTGACTTTTCTTCACTGCCAACTCTGCAAATTAATGGTATTCCACTAAGCATTTCAGAAACGGTTAAGAATCTGGGCATCATCATGGATTGCAAGTTGACATGGAATGCACATATCACAGAAATTAGCAGGAAAATATATTATACTTTTCATTCCTTAAAATGCCTTCAACATTTTCTGCCGTTATCAACGAAGATTTCTCTTGTCCAAACACTTATTTTCCCGATTCTTGACTATGCTGATGTCTGTTATTTGGATGCGACTGAGGAGCAATTAAACAAACTTGAGCGCTTGCAAAACTTATGTATTCGTTATATTTTCGGACTAAAAAGTATGACCACGTCTCCTCCTATCGCAAACAGCTCAAGTGGCTCCCAATCCGACTTCGCAGGAATACCCGAATCCTATGCCTCCTCTTTAACATACTATACAATCCAACATCACCACCCTATCTACGTGATCGATTCCACTTTGCGCACTCCCCCGATGCATTTAAAAACCCTCCTAAATTTCCCTTCCTCTAAAACTAAGTTCTATTCTCACTCTTTTACAGTACATGCAGTTAGGTTATGGAATTCTCTTCCTGCTGCAATTCGAGAGGCTCAATCAGTGTCCGTGTTCAAAAGGCGAGTCAAAGAGCACTATCTTTCTTTGTCGTTCCAATGATTATATATATAATATATTATTATTATATATGTAATATATATATATATATATATATATATATATATATATATATATATATATATATATATATATATATATATATATATATATATATATATGTGTGTATATGTATTTATAGTGGTATTTAGTTATATGTATGTTTACATGGATATTTGTTTTTATTATCTTTACTTTATGTTAAGTATATTAATATTATAAAATTTTATTATGAGAGTGCACACTAGATCAGCTTCTCTTTTAATTTGTCCAGTATCAGGCCTGCTGGAAGAAATTTCAATATGAAATAAACAGTGCCTTTGTACAAAATATCTTTTTTTTCTCTTCCTTGTAACATTATTTTGTGTGTACATAAATTATTAAATAAATAAATAAATAAATAAGAACCCTAAGCTTACTTAGATCCCATAATACAGACTTTATACAGCTTGAGCTGTATAATAACTCATAAACCACTCTTATAAGGAGAGGACAATGCAACCTCTTTTCAACACTCTTATATGCTTTTAATAGAACTCAAAGTTCAACGTGGGCTGGTATATTGATGTTGAAAACTATTGTGATATATATTATGTTTTCCTCAATAGTGATGATGTGATTAACGCGGAGTGGGAACGTATTTCGCAAGAAACCATAAGCGATATAGTCGCTAGCATGCCACACTCCATACTTACCTTTTATCTACTGTTACTTTATTAAATAAAAACAAAGAAAAAGTGTTTCATTCTTAGGGAGCATTTACACTACTACCGCTTAGAACTTTAACATTATTTCTCATTAATTTAATCAAAATGTTATGACAAAACTGACTAAAATTATTCCTTGCTAATTAATTTATAGAATTCTGGGTATTTATTTATTTACATTGTTAAGACATAGTTAAGACATAATATACATTGTATAAACATAAAATTATATCTAACTAAAAGGTTACACACTATATTAAAAAAAAACTATAATTAAGAAAAACTAAAGTCAAATATGTAAATTGTCATACAGTCTTATTCTCCGTGGTATCGTGCCAAGAACGCTGGTTGCGTTTCCTGACAGGGTCTGGCAGTACCGCTTATCCTCCGGTCTGATCAGCTAAGTAAAGGACACTTTAAGTGAACGGTCTCCCCGAGTCGTTGTCGAAGACTGCTCTTCCGAACCTATGACAACTAATACCGGAGTTCCTCAGAGGTCCGTTCTTTCCGCAACTCTCTTTGATATGCAATAGGCATATCAATGACCTGCTTATGGTATACATAGGTCACTCAATAAGTTTTGAGATGCTCGAAATTTAAGAATGGAACGCACCCCTGTTAAATGTTTCTAAAAAGCAAATTTATTTAAAAATAGAACTCCATAAGCCAATTGCTCAATATTAAATAAAAACAAAGTTCTATTAATTTTCCTGCAATGCTTCCCGCGCTTTTCATTTAAAACGATGGATCTTAACCGTGAACATTTGCGCGCTATGATATATTATGATTTTAAATTTGGTTTAACTGAGTTGAACTGAGACAATTGAGTTTACAACGGTTACAATCAGCATTAGGGGACTCAGCTCCATCACGCGCAACAATTTTTAGGCGGTTTGCTGAATTCAAAAGGGGTAAAATTAATCTTAAAGATGACCAAAGAACCGGGGCCCCGCAAACAGCAGTAACGGCAGAAAATGTATGGACTACTGGAATGTTGATGCGAGAAGACCCACGAATCACATATACGGATATCGAAAAGATTGTAGGCATTAGTTCGGGGAGCATTCACACCATCCTACATCAACATCTTGGAGTGAGTAAGCTTTGTTGTCGATGGATCCCTCGTTTGCTCTCATAGAGCGAAAAACAGACTCGTGTGGATTGGTGCCATGAAATGCGTCTACGTTTTGAAAACGGGGCATCTAGGCATGTTTCAGAAATCGTTACTGATGACGAGACATGGATCTATCAATATGATCCGGAAAATAAAAGGCAATCATCTGTATGGGTCTACTCAGAAGGACAGTTACCGACAAAACTGCAAAGACCTCGCAACGTCGGTAAAAAAAATGGTGGCTAGTTTTTTTTCGCGGAGCGGACATTTGTCGACGTCAGTGCTGGAAAATTGTCAGTCAACTCTGAATGGTATACTACATTTGCATTACCCAAAGCTTTTCAAGCTGTTCGGGAGAGAAAATCAAAAACCTGGCTTCGGGGAATCATGCTGCATCACGATAACGCCTATTCACATACCTCCCTTAGAACAAAAGCATTTATTGAAGAATCTGGTGATGAAACTCTAAGTCACCCACCCTACAGCCCTGACTTAGCTCCTTGTGATTTCTTTTTGTTCCCAAGAGTCAAATAAAAAATAAAAGGCAAGTTTTTTTCAAGCGCCGAAGAAGCCGTGGCTGCCTACAAAGAAGCGATTTCCGACCTGTCAGATAAAGACTGGCAAAAGTGTTTTCAGAGTTGGTTTAAGCGAATGGAACTTTGTATAGAGCATGATGTGAATATTTTGAAAAGATGTAAAATACATATTAATAGTATCTAGAATACTTTTTGTATACCTCAAAACTTATTGAGTGACCTACGTATCTCATTGGCTACTTAGATGACAGCACAGTTGTGAAGAGATATTAGCTGAGCACTCAGTCAAGTCAGGATCAAATCCAGCCTGAAAGAGGTCATTGTTGAGCGTGTAAATCTCTCACTGCAAGCAGTCTCCGAATTGGGCTGTGCATTCTTGTGAGATTCAACGCCTCCCAAAAGTCGAGGATGTCTCTTCACCGTAAAGAGGAGCCAACTTAACTTGGCTCCTTCTTTCCGAAATGTATAATTGGAATTCACCCGCCGTCTTTTTCCGGGGATTGTGATTTCCTCGGACCTTTAACTTTGGGCAGTTCATTGAGTCCCAGGGTCAAAGCAGCCGCCGGGTAATTAGATGTCTTTGCAAGTGTGCGGCGATACTTCACGCTAGGACAGTTGCTCACACTACATAAAGTGCAAGCAAGTTGACAAAATGCTACTTAGCCACTTTGAACTCAGTGGAAAGGCGTGCAAAAGTGGGGGAATCAATATAATAAGTACATACTGGTCTTATCAGTCTCGAACACAGGTGTAAAATAGTAGTGTTGTATACATTTCGGAGAGTGTGTGTAGGAATTGCATGACTTAATTCCCCCTTCTCCGTTCTGTCCTCGGACCACTAGCTGCTCGGCTGGTCTTTATTCCTTTATCGTCGACATACCACGCATTCGAACAAAACTGATTGCATCGTCGTCCATAATGAAGGTACTCATTGCTGAACACAGTGTGGCCGGTGGGAGGTAAAGGGAAGATCTCCCGCCAGGCAAGGTGTTCTGCCCGGGGAGCGGCCAATGCTCCGTGTGGTAGTTCGGAGCTATTCTATATATGCTGCTTTAACTTCGGAACTTTGTTAGTGCGATTTAGGCTTCGATGTGTTTCGCTTGTGGCGCGACGACAGCGCCGCCACATCAACCCCCTGCTCAGACCGGAGGTCGATAGTGCAGTCCGATTGCCGGTGCGTCCTTAATGCCGGTGGGGAATGCATGCCGTGTGCGTAAGGGCTAGTGATGCCGGTGCGAACGATATACCGGTGTGTAATGCATGCCGTACTACGCACTTGCAAGTGATGCCAGTGAGAACGATGAGCCGGAGCAAGTGCCAGGAATTGCCTTGTAGTCTGCGGTGAGTCGAGAAGAAGGCAAGTAATCTACGAGAGTACCGTGAAGCAGAGGCGAGCAGTAAGGCTCAGAGCCGTGCCGAACACTGTAGCGCAGAGAGTAGCTTGAAGTGTTTGAGAGTAGCTTTTACGATGTTTTCACCTTTATCGATAAGTAAATCGGCACTTTAAATTACCATTAATAATATCATCAGTGCCAGCGGAGATCAAACTCGGATTGCGTACTGTAAAATTTACGGCTAGCGCGTAAGCTCCTGAATATAGGTATATATTTAGGAAAACATATGTATCGATAAATATTTTAAATCTATTTATGAGGCCAAAACGTACACTGTTTCAAAAATATCTTTATTTACTATGTCACTCACGTATACCTACCCCATCCTCATAATTTCGTTTCAGTATTAAGCTCTAAAAAATAAATATTAATTTATGTTTAAGTACAGAATACGTCATAATAGTACAGGTAGTTTAAGGCATAATAAGTATTTATGGAAAGTATAACACAATACGTTTTAATGAGATGGCCACTGAATATCAATACAAAGATATTAAACAATGTCAAGTAAGTTTCAAAGTATTTTGCAAAGTTTGTTTCGCATCAAAAAGTGTAATTCTGTGTAACTGATTATACTCACCTGTGTGTATAAACACAAAGTTGAGTATAATCTTTCTTTGTGTACCTATACATAAAAATGGGATGAGATGAGATTCAGAACATTAAGCGATATCTTAACATTATGTTTATCACATTTACCGTACCAACTAAAAACAATTAAAATGGTCATTAAAGTTATTGCAGCTATTGACCCCACATTCGACCGACGGATGGAGTAAGCGGACATTGTCCGGCAAGTTACGCTTGAATGGTGCGCGCGCTCCGTTACAGCGATCTTTCACCTGCGCAATATTGCTGCCTATAAAACCTTGTCATTGTAATAATATAAAGTTACTTTCATCTCAAATCAAATCAGAATACGACTCTATTAAGGGAGGAGTAGTTGAAATTTAAATAATTTATATGGGTTTAAACCCCATGTTTTATTTTTAAAAAACATGATGAAATTCTTTGGCTTGGTACGATTTAAGTCTATATCTGAATTAATATAACTAATATTCTATTGTTTTTATTTCTATTGAATATAACTTGCTCCTGTTTCAGTTAATACTCTGGGTGCTGTGCGACGGAGTTTATACTAATGAAGAGAAAAGTAAAAATGAATTTGTGCAATCATTGGATTTTGGATTTATTTATGATACCGACAATTCTGGTAAACTAATATTTATATTATTATTTCTTAATAAACAAGTATAATTTGTTAGTCATATTTAGCGAAAACTATAATTTTTTTAACTCTTTGTGTTGTTTATTTACACACTTACATTACGGGAACTTAAGTATAAACTGAGCTACGCAGTGAATCTAACGTCAATTAATTTAATCATTTTTATATAACTTCGGATTCTAAATTTTAGAAATTTTCAGGCGTTGCTTCTTTAGCTTCAAGCCCTGTGGCCTCGGCAATATTGAAAGCGGATAAGAATCAATATCCGCAATTATTTGATTCTGTTGTTAGTAGTTCTATTGATTCTATACAACGTCGTATAGCACCCAAAGAAAATATATTTTCCGCTACAAATTTTGGATTTGACCCTATAGCTAGTCAAGGCTTTTATCCATCGGCTCAATCGGCAAAATTAACGTTACAACCACAACGCTCACCTACTTATTTGGCACCTCGAGAAGAACAGCTTAGTCCTTTAAGATATGATATTAGAACTGTTCATGATGCCCATTACAAAGTATATAAGCCTGAAGACAAAGAAGAAGGAGAAAATATATTGGCAGCTTTAAGAAAAGATCCCACAGTTGCTGCTTACTTTCAACCAGCAGTAACAAGTGTTCAAGTGGCACATCCTATAGATTATCGGAAAGAAGAGTTAAATGAAAAATTAGATACTAAACAAAACTACAAGACAAATCCTTATATTACAGAACCAACCAGAATTCGGCGCTATGCTGGAGGAAAGAAAAAAGAAAGTTTAAGAAGTAGCGAGGAAGAAGAGGACGATCCTTACCATTATAAAGCAGAGTATATTTCCAGACCTAAAGCCTTTGACGATAGTCCGTACAGTAGTGCCTACAAAGAAGAAAGAAACCCCAAAAACGACTATGAGTATCCTTATAATTATGATTCAGGATATGACCATAAGGATTATGAAAGAATAAAAGACTTGTCTGAAAAACAAGCTGCAGAAATCAAACAAAATCCCGGCAACTGTAAAGAAGTGAAAAAGGATGGTATGACGTGTATGTCCTGTAAAGATCCAAAAACAGGTGGAAACTATGAGTCGTGTTCGTATGTAGCTGAACCAAAAAATAATAAATATGCTTATTCAAAAGAAAGAAAGTTTGATAGTAACGATGAACCCGATGAGCCTGAAAATGAGCAAAAAGCAGAAAAGTCAGAAAAATCCCAAGAATACCTTGAAGACGAGGAAGATCCTTCAAGTACAAAGCAATATAATAATAAAAAACCTTATTCCAATTATAAAAGCGAAGACACTGATGGGGACAATGACGACAAGTATAAAGCTTATTACATACATACATCAGCTCCTAAACCTAGCGAGGCTTTACGAGCAACTGATGATGAAGAAGATTCCGGAGAGAATAATGATTCTCTCACCAAACCCTATAATTATAAAAAAGCTCTACCAGGTTTCTACACTGATAATGAACCCAAAAAGGACGTGGAACATGTTTTAGCAGAATTCAAGAAAAAAGATAGATCAGCGTGTAAGAAAGTACAAAAAAATGGGATGACGTGTTTTCAGTGCATCGATAACAATGGCTTAAAGCATGAAGAATGTATGTATGTATCGGAATCGGCGCCGAAACTGAGTCATTTAGCTTATCAAGAAGTTAAAGAATTTGCTTCTAAACCTGAGACACTTAAAGGAAACGAAACCGCCGAAAGTCAAATAGTAACAACAATTGCTCCTGCACATAAATCTGCTGCCTATGTCGTAGCCAATAGTGGATACGGTAGGAAGTTAAAGCGCAAAAAGGCTCATCAGGGTACGTTAGCTGCAACATCCACTAATCCTGTTGTAGCTGCATTGCCCGATGTTATATCTTCAGTTCAGAAACCTTTAAGATCTCCTAAAGTTAAGAGAAATGAGGGTTCACAAGCTGAAATAAATGCCGAAATTGTTGATGAAACCAATATTGCACCTCCAGAAGAGTTTGCAAGTACCAACTCAAAGGGCGCTTTTTGGACAGAAACTATGCCTCGATACAGCGCATCTTTGGGAGTCACTTTGCCTGAATTTATGTTATCTAGATCAGAACATGAAGTACTTTTCGATGAAGCTGTTGCGGGGGCGTAAGATTTATTTTTATATGTAAGTTAAGCAATAGAGCATTAATAGAGCATGTCTAATAAAAAAACCTTTTAGGCGTCGAAAGAAGGCGACAATGGGTATTAAGTATCTGTTATGAAATAAGGTTGCGCAAAATATTCGGGCCAAAAATTTAATCGAAATGTTTTAAAATAACAGCAATTGGGGACTCTCAAATTATTGTTAACTAGTTATAGATATACAAGTTATGTAAAAATAAATTTATATATTGTTTTTATTATACAGAGTTTTATTTATCTATAAACACGAGTAACTATGTATCAATTTCTGATACATTAATTTTAATAGTTTCTCCTACTATAAAATACATCAAAAATAAGAGGTTAGTACAGTTCAGGTATTTAGGAGAACGTGACTGAGGCATTTATATAAATACTAACAATCGGTGCCTGGCGTTCTGTTCTATTAATATCGATTCTGCTTTTTTAACCACTTAAGGCGAGTTTTGCTACCACTGTGAATGTATCGATATGTAAAAAGAAAATATTTTTACAAAATTGAATATACAGACAAAATCTGTGAAAAACTGAAACACAAATCATCAAAAACTGTCTCTGGGCGCACGTTGCATAATCTAAATCTAAAATATTCCCGCTTAGTGGTTTTCGCTTAATTGCAGGGACGGGAACGTTTACGAATCGTAAAAATGGAGAAATTATAAATGTAGAATAACCATACATCCACCTACCGGGTCCAATTGTGTATCTAAACCATCTAGGGACCCACACAAACACATACAAAAAATATTTATCAGAATCGGTCGAGCCAGTTTCGAATTTTAGCGACACTAACAAACAGCAATTGATTTTTATATATAGAGATATAACATATATTTGAAATGGACTTTAACGGATAATTGTTAGGAACACCCGAAGTTGTTGACGAGTATGTTTACCTAAAAATAATTATCCCCCTAGGCCTAGGCAAGTTCAACTTCGATCCAGACATCTTAGACCCAGAGGTCTAAGATGTCTTGATCAATTGATGGATCGAACTGGATTGAACTGTCCAACTTGGACAGCGTTAGGGAAATTACGACACATCTTCTCGTCACGTAGGTAATAATCAAAACTTTATAATAAGAGTGTACACGTTGCAAGTGATGACATATGCAACTCAGACGTGATCCTTCACTTCTGGCCGTATGAGGAAACTTAAGATCACGCTGTAAGTGAGGCGAGTGTTATGCTCGGAGTTTTTCTGCGTTATTAGAACTTTGATATATATGTTAAGACTAAAAGCCAAAGTGCGGAGGTTAGTTGTTACATACGTTCTGTGGTTAGTTGGTTCGCCGGTTGCGTCCCGACCGACCATGCCGGGACCTCGTATTACGCTAATGATGACCATCGTAGAGTTTCAACCTTTTTCGTTTCCTGCAAAACCTTTCCGGTGCTCCCGCACCCGAAGTGATCCATGAGGATTTCGCCACAATAAAAAAGGGTTAACTTGCTACTAACTAGGTAACTAGGTGCATACAAAAGCGGTTGGTTAAACTTAAGTGTACTGTTTAATATATATTCATCGGAATACGGAAGCTCGTATCAAATAATATCAGCGGTAGTAAGTAAAGGTGCAGCTGCCTTCTTGCGCTGCCGCACATATTATTACAGAGAGAACAACTTAACATAATTAAAAAAATATCTACATATTATTTGCGTAATCAGGAACAAATGTCACATGATAGATAAACGGAATTTTCCGTTTATTACTCATGTGCAAAGGTGTTACGCGTATGACGCTATGGACGAAAGGCTTATTGCAAGCTACAAATGTTTTGTTGGAGAGTAACGCTGAAAAAGTAGTTCAACTTTGCCGAATCTAAATTGTTGGCATGTTATCCGGTCAGCGTCCTAGATGTCAATACAGTGTGTGCTGTTCTTATTTTTACTGGTCATTGTCCAAAAGAACGTCAGCTAAGAACAGTCTCGGGCGAATTGTAATCATACAAAGACGCGGGAAAATAATTCAGTTGTTATTAACACATGCTTCCGTTCGCTGTTTGAGGAATATAAATAAAATCTCATTGAATTCACGGCTAGTAATAAACCTCATATGTGGATATCGCATCACGCGGGCGTCACGCACAGTGGAGAGAGAAACCAAAATCATTGTATTTCTGATTTACCAGAACTTTGGGTAAACACCAAACAGTGAGTATAATTGTCTGTAATAATTTCGATAATAGATAAAAGTTGTAAGACATATGAGATTTTAAAATACAACTAGTTGGAGAAGGTTGTTTAAGGCAACTGTGTATCTATATAATATGCAATACGCCTATGTTATACTTTTTTATTTACTAAATATTTAACACAGCTCCATAAAATTATTTTTTACTATTATCTCAGTTTCAAAAGCAATATCGATTGTTTCAAAACAGCGTTGCATTGATCAATAGCGAAAAATGATAACTTGACTCTTTGCCAAGAACCCAATTGAATAAAAACTTATTGCGTAGTGAATTTCTGCCGGCTACGTCTAGATGTTTATTTTTATCGACAAAGTGATTTTTTCTGTTTATAACATTGTCTGAGATATAACAAACAATAATTCGACTTCAAGATCCTCGGTTGGGGAGCTTTGTACCCTAACCACTATGCTATGCTGCCACGCCTCACGGCCACCGCTATCTAAAAATGCCTGGGCAAAATAAGTTTCGAAATTATAAGACTGCCTGTTGTACTATTTCATTAGACCACAGGAACTGCTGATATAGGCACCTCCCATTGTAGGGAGCATATGTCATATATAATCGCTTAACGATCGCATTAACAAACGCCTTGCTGCTTTGACGCTGCTCCCCGTCGCCGGTCTGGGTAGTTTTTGTCTAGCCTAAAAGTCCATATCAATATATCTATTATGTATCGACATATTGTATCGAAACAGTGGTTTACCTGTTTATCTGTTTCTGCAGCAAGCCACAGTGCACCTACAGCCACGTTCCGGTTTACGTAAGAGTATAATAGAGATCCATTATAATAACATCTTAATCCCCCATAGGCAACAGTTGCCAATTTCTATCAGGTGGACTGTGCTTGTTTACTACTCTTATAAATATAACTAAAACGAGGTCTCTTAATCGAGGTATCATCTTACCACCTATTTTAATAAACTACTAACTAGTTTTATACCTATAGGTTTAGGTATAAAACTAGTCTTAGCCGATATATACGCCTGTTATAATTTTTTCCTCAGAAACATTCGGAGGCGTACAACTCACCAAAGTTTCATCGTAATCCGATGAATGGTATAGTAACAACTACGGGACACAAAAAAAGTTGTCATTTTTATAGTGTTTATAACACTGGTTTTTTTTTTGTTATAATGTTTCCTTTTTTAAAGTTTAAAGTTTAGTAGGTACTTAATCGATGTCAATTTCGCAAACTTATAATTCAATAGTCTATAAATGTTTACATTTTGATAAAATGATTCTATAGTGTCAATGGTTAATGAGCAGTCATCAGATGATGAAGAGACTGTGGACGTCCGATCTTTGCCATTGAAGCCACCGCAGCGTCTCCAGCCTCCGGAAAAACCTGTGCGCCGTGCATGGCACCCGATAATGTGGGATGAAAAGAAGGACATTGCTCCAAATAATAACCAAATGGAACAGGTGATACTTTTGTTTATTTTAACTTATTTCTTAACTTGTTTTAACTTCTTAGATGTTTACCTAATTTAACGCATCGGTTTAGTTCATTCCCAGTTCATCATAATTGTAATTTTTAACCAGCTGCGGCAGGGGTGCGTATTGCAACCTTCAACCCCCTTGCAAAGCGTGTTAAGGAGGTCCATGGCCCGCAGTGGAGTATCACGGGTTACACGAACGTCACATGATGATGCCACACATTTTTTTTATCCACCGCCGAACTGGCCGAACACCGGTAGAGCCATGTTGCAGCTATAATATTATGGTTGTATCATGAAGGCTCGGCTCGACCGGGGAAGGACCACGCTCTCACAGAATACCAGCGTAAAATAGCAGCTCAATGCTACTGTATTTCGTATGGTGAGTGTAGAGAACCGAAGACCCTTTTTACTGCATTTCATCTTAGTCCTCAGGGGCGACAACGCATCTGCATTTTGATTCTTAATCGAAGATATATGTAGATGTCTATGGGCCGCAACATCCACTTACCATCAGGTGGGCTGTGTGGTCGCTTGTCACCCACATTCTATAAAAAAAATCAGAAGCTCCATTTTAATGTTATTATTTTTATGTTTTCGGAGTTCCTTGCGTTATTTTTTCAACTCTAAATTACGTGATTTAGGGTCAGGAACATACCCTTAATACCTAGATTTTTATTGATTATATCATAGATCAAGATCCCAGGGCCACCAGACGTCACTTATTTTCTGACGAACGAAATGTGTAAGATTGAGTAGTGTTAGTATGTACTATGATCGCATGCCTACCAGCTAGCTTGACCAGAGGGCCATTTTCTTGATAGCAGGTAATCAGGCCATGTAAAACTGCTCACCTCACATTAATTCTCCCAGCTGAGTTTTATGTATATGTTAGATAATATCGTTAAAAAATCAGTCATCAATACTCCCAGACACTCCGTTGGCAGTATCGCTTTGCAGACGCTTTAAAGGTCTCAAAAAATTACTCTATTTCACTTACATTCAGAAGCTCCATTTTTATATGTTAGCTAGAAAACTATTTTAAAATATTTTACAAGGAAGACCGATCCAAGGTGTCAATCATCCCCTATAAAAATGGCCCTCTGGCCAAGCTAGCTGGTAGGCATGCGAACATAGTATACTTTTATGTTAATAATACATAGGCTGCACTAAAAGTATCGGGAATTGAATATTTCCACTGTTCCTGTCATATTAAAATCTTTTTAATTGAAAACTCCTTGGTTTTAAAAATCGAATACCATTTATTTATTTAAAAAAAGATTCTCGGTCTTGTCACAAGGTTTTGTCAAACTTGTTTAGTCGTTGAGAAAATGGAATTGACTCGAGAAAATTCAAGAGTGATGATTTATTATGACTTTCGAACACAAAAACAGTGTGTTGACCCGATGATTTCTGCATTTGGTGATGAAGCCCCATCCAAAACACAATTTATCGCTGGTTTGCTGAATTTCAACGTGGACGTGTCAAGCTCAGTGATGATCCCTGTCATGGTCGTCCAAAAACTGCAGTCACCCAAGAAAACGTTGATGCTGTGCGTAAGCTGTTTGAGGAAGATCGACATGTGACATACCGCGAAATTCAGGCAACTTTAGACATTGTCATGAGTCAAATACAAATAATCTTGCATGAACAATTAGGTGTAAAAAAGTTGTTTTCCCGATGGATACCGCATTCGCTCTGTGAAGAGCAAAAAGCGGCTCGCGTTACTTGGTGCGTCAGAACTCTCGAAAGATTCCACGCAGGATCCTCAAATGCTGTATACAACATCGTATCAGGTGACGAATCCTGGATATACGCGTACGAACCCGAAACAAAAAACCAGTCACGAGTTTGGGTGTTCGAAAATAAGTTAAAGCCAACAAAAATTGTTCGTTCACGGTGTTGCAAAAAAAATGGTGGCCACTTTGTCTCCAGAACCGGCCATGTTACGACTATTCCTCTTGAGGGACAAAGAACGGTTAATGCAGAATGGTATGCTAGCATTTGTTTGCCGCAGGTCGTTTCTGAACTCCGTAAAGAGAACTGCAACCGCCGCATCATCCTCCATCACGACAATGCGAGTTCTCACACCGCACACAGAACAAAAGAGTTTTTAGAGCAAGAAAACATAGAATTATTAGACCATCCGCCGTACAGCCCCGACCTAAGCCCTAATGATTTCTATACTTTCCCTAAAATAAAGAATAAATTGCGTGGACAGAGATTTTCATCACCTGAAGAAGCTGTGGACGCCTACAAAACGGGCATTTTGGAGACCCCAACTTCCGAATGGAATGGTTGCTTCAATGATTGGTTCGTACTTCTCAGTCTTACACATTGCGTTCGTCAGAAAATCAGTGACGTCTGGTCTGGTGGCTCTGTGGTCTTGGACTATTAGTGTGTATTTTTGTCATGTGAAAAAGCGCAGCCCCATTTTATTCAAGTCTCTCTCTCTCTCTCTCTAATTTGTATATTTTATTTTTTATCTTTTTTTTTGAACCAAAAATGTAAAGTTTAAATCAATAAATTTCATTTAATAATATCATTAAATATAATATTCTATTACGATACTCTTTTTGACGTTGAGCATATAATTTCACTAATATATCTCTGTAATGCACTTCGATCATCTTATAAGGGGCGAAAGTTGATAAAGTGTCCTACTATTTACTGAAAATAGAGGAGAATGTTACTGCAGCGCCACCCTTATTGGACACGTTTTTGGGGACACTTTTCATATACAGAGATGGTCCTCCTTCTACTCTACACTCCATAGTCTAAAAATATACTATACGCTAACACAAGATGGCGACTCTGTTGCGTACTGAATTGAGCTTTTCGCCACATGAATTCTTTTAGTTATAAGTATTTTCCTCGTTGCCCGTCCATTCCATTTTGCCCTCCCTTCCCCTATTAAAATAGGTGTGAATATCATAATAAATATGAATTTATTTCAGGAGCAGCTACAATCGAACGAGTATCCCCACACAAAACGCATACGCAATCTTCGTCGATTAATTGCTGAGGGCAAAGTGAAGCCCGAGTCGGAGACATTGATATTTTTCCTTTGTAACAAATTTGCGGTTTCTGACGATCGACGAAAAAAGTTTGAATAAATTTAACAAAGATGTTGAATAACCTTTCTGAACTTGGATCATAGGAGATTCAAGAAGTTTGACGGCAATGCACTATATTAATAAGTATACTAATGTGATAAATATTTTTATATCATGATTAAAGGAAACTATTTTTGTATCTATAGATAATTAACGTTAATAAAATATGTATTAAATAATGTAAAATTATTATTATTATTGGAAGCATGGGAAGATAAAACTTTGAAGAACCTATACCTAATACTACATAGTCCAAATGAGAAATACTTATATTTAGTTCCGGTGGTAGGTAAACCCTCCTACTACGAAAGTAATTTATTCCGTGTATTTTTAAACCATCATAATTTGGTCTGAATAATACTTAAGATATGGTGTTTAAACGCCATAAAATGTGATAATATATTTTTCAAATCGTTGTTACTTTAACCTCTATTGATATAATTCAACTTTACTTTTGTCTTGCACTTGCAAATTATCACTATAAATCATGAATAGCCTCAGTAGTCCGAAAAAGTTTGAAATGTTGTTTACATAGTAGGTTACACCGAACAAGTAATAAGAAAAAGTGCAGAATACAGAATGTTTAACAGTTAAAAATTACCTTAAAATTTAAGGTTACTTGGCCAATTAAATTAAGCCTAAGGCCAAGTTCCCCAGTTAAGTTTTGATACTTAAAAATAAAATGGTGTGTATGACCTAGTTTGGAAAGCTTGAGAATTTCATTTCTTTTTCACAAAGGACATGCAGGTAGTCCCACACAACAAATATCCCCTATTAGTCTAAGCTAAATTATTATACCGACTTCTGTTCTTTTTTCAAAATGAGATCAATTATAGTACATTATTGCTTGAAACATGCAGATAATATAATATGTTGTTAGGAATGAGGGCAGAAATAAAACCCAAAGAAGTGAGGGTGGAACTCTAATTTCCCACTCGTTCTAGCAGTATAAAACACCGCTCAGTCATTTGGGGATCAGTAATTTAGAAGCAAGCAGTCATTCTATAAGTCGTAATCACTGTCGTTAATTATGCCCGCAGGCGCGGTCCGAAGGGGAGGGTCACAGGGGACATGACCCCTCAATATCGTACACGTCAAATTGAAAAATCTTTTAAAAACTACAAAATTAAAAAAAAGCAATTTTCTGCCCCTAGCCGCGATGCATTTTATGTTTTGCTGACATCTAAAGGTGCTTTTATGAACTACGATGTCCATAACAACCTAGAAAATCTGAATATACAGAAGAAGATTTTTATCAATATGGAATAAATCCAGGGAAGTAATGTGATAATATTTCATTTCTAGAGTAAAGTGCTTTTATTTAGGCCGTAAATGATTATATTCCAGGGAAAGATGCGGGGTACAGCACATTTCAAGTCAATATGAAGCTATGTAATATAAAGACTTTTGAGTGCTGTAGAGATCTGTTTAGATTTTTTAATTAATATCTCCGCTCCGCTACATTCACAGCCGGATTTCCCACAGTATCAAATTGTACCGACGGTAGACTGTTTAAAGGTAAAAGGGGATTAAATACACACATTAAACGATGCCATAGTAAAAGTATTTCGGCCTCACAGCCTACCGTAGAAATTCGTAACTCTATTAGTAATTTCTCTAATGACATAAATTTTTCCCTATTTTCGGAGCAAATTTACAATCATCATCGTAATGTACCAGTGGTTAAAAGAATTCCTGGAGGTGCGAGGATGCAACTTGCTAAAGCATTGTCATGCACTATTCAAAATTGTTTCACTTATAGTGAAAAGAGTTGGCAAATATTATTTACTTTCGCGTATTCCCATTTTCATTTTGATAAAACAATAAATAAATCAATTACGTCTCAAATAAAAGAGACATCTTTTCAATATTTAGATTACCCAATTAATACTCATTTATCTCGACCACGTCCTAAATTTGATTTAAAAAAAAGTATGTAGTTGAGTCGAAATTAATGGATGGCGACTTAAAAAATGCATCCCCTATTTTATTCTCAGACGATATCCTGGCTCCTCGTAATGTCGAAACTCTTGAAAGCCTTCGTCAGAACCATCCTTCGGTCAATCCTTCTCAGGGTTTACCGCTGCCTCCCAAGACTTTTATGCAACCTTTACAAATTTCTGAAAAAGATACTTTAGAAGCAATTATGTCATTTTCGAATGGCTCTGTTGGCGACATTGACGGTAAGGAATGCTTTTAACTCTATCAATAGGGCAATACCCCCGAAATTTATCATTACGTTTGGCAATGTTACAGTCAAAATACCAACTTGTTTTACGAAAACCATGTTGAAAACCTGTTGGTGTTCAGCAGGGTGACCCACTAGGTTCAGCACTTTTCAGTTTGGGAATTCAACCCATTATTTCAAATTTGAAATCCAAGCTGAATGTCTGGTATCTGGACAACGGTATACTGGGAGTCCTCAGTGATCTTACTCATATTTTTCGAAATTTTAAAAATATTGGTCTTGAACCAAATAGCAATAAAAGTGAAATATTTTTTTCCAATAATTTATCTACTTCTCACAAAGACACTTTAATTCAAAATTTCAACCATATTTCTCCAGGAATAAAAACTGTCAGTACGGATTCACTATACCTACTAGGTGCCCCGTTGTTCACGCCCTTAATTGCCCCGACAAAGGTCGACTGGACCAGGGCCCATGAGTGATCCCCTCGACGAGCAACAGAGGGCGGGGCCCAATGGCCTATGGATAATTCTAAATTAATGGCAAACAAGCAAGCACAACTTACCGAGTTCCGGAGGTAGGGTTGACCACAGGGTACCGTCAGGGGCAAGTGGGGTGTATGTGAGTAGTGTGTAGTAGTGTGTACATGTAACCTGACTTAACCAATGTAGTCGGATTGCAGATCCACAGACGGTGTTTTTCTCCAAATGTGCGATCCCTCAAGTGGTCGATTACCAATTGAAAACTTCTGCTATTATTTTCACTATATTAGTTTATCAACTTTATTGTACACTAGCTGTGCCCCGCGGTTTCACCCGCGTCATCACGTGTCGGAGGTGCGCGACATGACCTAGTACAAGCATTTTAAAATTGCAATTAAATATTTTATTTGATAGCAATAGATGGAAAAATTGGCATAATTAATGGAGTACTTTTATCTGTTGGCATATTATGTATGATGTAGAGCGAATTTAAGTTTTATCCACTTTCCCTCCCCCTCCCGGTTGAGCAGTTCTCGCAGTTCTCACCGGGCGGCTAGGGTTTATGTGTCGTTCGCGCGTCCAGCCAAACTCTTAAACTATTCGTCGAAATAACATGGTATAAAAAACAAAGTTTATCGTCATAAAATTGTCTTAATGATGAAGTAACTTTCGTTCGTAAGGATAAATAGGCCATGCCTAATAATAACGCTCATAAATCACTTTTAAATTTTCAATATTTTTTTGTCACAAAATACCTAATTATGGCTTATGTATAAGAAATAGACATATGGTACCGCGGACTTTTTTTTAGACGGAGTAAAGATCTATATTTTTCTAGAACATTTTATTTATGTATCCCTAACGATAACACCAGCGTACGCAGATAAATCATTTCGGGAGTGCTTTTTCTACTGACTTGCTTAACAAATATCTATATTTAAGGCTAGCTGAGTGATATAGCTTAATTCTAGATAGCCTATACTATTCCAAATGAATCAGGCTATAATATACAAAAATAATTTTTCAAATCGGACCGGTAGTTCTAGAGATTAGCGCGTTTAAACAAACAAAAAAACAAAAAACTCTTCCGCTTTATTATATTAAGTATCTATAGATTTAATTAACTTCAAAGTCAACCAAATCAACGTTTATCGAAATTAAAACAAGTGACACACGACACAAGTAAAGAACAGTCGGTCAAAGTTCATTGTTCCATGTTCACTTAGCAACAAATTATAATCGAGCACACGCGATCTCCTCTCGAGTCACAAAGCTTTAGCGTTCCGCCCGACAAAGCAAAAATTTCTTTGGTACGATATTAAAATACCACACAAGCAATCAAAACTCAAAAATCAGCCTCGTTGACACGTAAAACGAACGAAAATAGACAACACACAAAAAAGGCACTTAACGCGACGTTACAATTCAATATTAACTTCCAAAAGCAATTAACCGGCCGACGCGCGACGAAATCTTTTCCATACTTTAATACAAGCCTCGTTATTAAGAAACTTACAAATTAAGACAACTCCATAGGAGGCACGCGCCCGGCCACCGCGCGACAATTCTTTTCTAGACTTTAACAATACCGTCCGTCGCGCAACAATTATTTTCCATACTAACTCGGCGGCCGCGCCCTCGAATGGAATGCGAGCGGGAGCGGTGGTACCAAGCGGTGACTGGTACCGTTGAATGAACGCGCCGCGCGCGCGTCGTGAATTCAAGTTTCAAAGGTTAATATTTGGCCTAAACACCCGTTGTTTTTCGATAGTATTAAACCTGCTTTAAAACCAAAATTTGATCAGTTTTAAAACACGTTGATAAAGAATCATGCCCACTTTCCATACATTGATTGACCTGTCACTTGATTCGTTTTATAGGTCGCGTCTTCCTACAACTAGTGTTGTATAATAACAATTATTATTTATAATAACATAATAACTTATCATCTTTTTATTTAGCGGCCAGGGAAAAACGCTATTAAGTAAATAAGTTTTTGGGGTTATGACAGCTGTCAGACCTTATCTGACAGCTGTCATAAGCTCAAAAACTATACAATAATTATAATGAAATTGTTTCTTAATCGCCGATAGACTTCTCAGACCTAGACCTTCATAGACCACTCAGAAATAAATCACTCTTCAATGAAATATCATCATCAAATCGTATAATTCATTAAATTATCGGTTAAAATCTCGTACATATGGACTACACACCAGGAGTCGGCTTGACAGTTGACGCCTTTAACCATCGAACTCTAGGTCTGATAAACAGACAAGAACGAGTAACTAATATCTAATACCAGCATAATACTGCCCCACTGCTATGCA